ATATATATATAAAGTAACTTTATAACTTATATAATATATAATATATATAATTATATATTTTTAACTATTTCCAGTTATAATATAATATATGCAAGAATTAATTCACAACATACAATAAACAGTTCTTTTTAATAAAATATATTTATTTCTTAAGTTAGAAAAAATGACACAAGTATAATAATATAATATAATATTTCTTGCAATCAGCTTATTAATTCTAAAAGTAGTCAGCGAATTGATTGATTTGCTTTTGCGAAACACAGAAATCTTCTTCTTTCGCATTAAGTTTTCAGTTTTTAAGAGGTGCGGCAGAGGAAGTTGCGAAAATAAAAAGAAAACTGTTTATTGTCAGTGGTTCTATCCTTTGACGGAAATTAAATACCGCTGTATACCTTGAGTCAGAGTACACGGGACATTCCGGCATTCCGGAAAAAGAAAAATCTTAGCGAAACGACCGAAACGATGCGAGAGATAACGGATAGCCTAGATATGGCTGTGCAAGGTTTCGCCCGCGATGTCTTGACAAAGCAGATATTAACGCGACCGCAAAGTTTGCACTCTCGCGTGCACTCGGCCGAAATTCTTTTTCAACGGTTCCACTCAAGTTTGCACTCTCCCAAACATTCGCCCTCATGGTGTGTATATATATGTATATACACTTGTAAAATTTATTAGACAATACGAGATAAAGTTGAAAACGGCGAACACAAAGAGACATACCGACGCGTACATACGGAATATCTCGAGAATATCATACCTTCTTTAGGATGAACTATCTAACTTTATGACACGAAATTATTTATACCAGTTTTGCAATGCGAACGAAAACTTAAATTATCATAAGACTTTTATTGTTTGCGCTGTAATTTCAAAAATTAATTTAAATGATTAATTTTTATTTTTAATAGATATTTAAAAAAAATATTTATTTTAAATTAATATATTTAAATGATTGCCGCTATTACTGCTTATTAGCTGCTATTCAATGACGAGAATAGTGGCACTTCAAAAGATCTATAAACCGGATACACACACACATACGTCTGTGTTCCGCTTTTAATCGATAATTCGTGTTTGATCGAAGATACGACATGAGTGTCGAGCGGTCGCCGACGAAGTCGTCGCCGAGGAGCGTGCATCAGCACCTGCTGCAGGACACGTTTCGGACAGAGGGCTTCTTCCCGCAAAGCGTGAACGATAACTCGGCACCGTTCCTCGAGGAAAATAATCCGGAGTCCTCGTTCGATTGCGTGGACGGTCGTCTTCTAAACGAGAGGCGATTCCGCGAGCGATACGGCGACGGCGTCGAGAGCAGATCCGGCCATTCAACGTCCTCAGACGAGGGTAGTAAGAGCTTCAACATCGAAGGCAGATGCCCACGCTTTGGCTCCAACTGTGAGAGTGAGCGGAAGTACCATGCCGGCTCATCGTCGAGCGACAGATCGACGAGCGACGACTATTGTCCTGGCAGGACGAAGAACATATACGCCAAGTTAAAGGGCGCTAAGCAGAAGCAGCTGGAAGATGACGAGCTCGATGCGGACACCCGGGTGTACGGCAAGAGTCCCAAGTTCGACGACAATATGAGCGGCTTCGCTTCGTTCGACTGCCGGAATCGCCGAGCCAAAATCGCCGCCGGCGGCGATCTGCTGACGCACGAGCAGCGCCGATACTATGACAGCGCTGACGACGACGTGTCCTTCAACGAGAGCGAGGCGGCGCGCAGCGACGGGGTCGTCTTCAACACGCTCGACGGTTTTGAGAACGAGAACGAACCGTCTTACCGCCAAGACATGAGTTTGGAGAGCCGCGAGACAGCGGCGGCTCACGAGGATAACCCGGAGGATCCTCGTAATCGGGCGCAGCAGCAGGACTATCTGCGCAAGAACGATGAGAGGAAGTTTAGCGCCGGTCAGATCAAGAGGCCGCTCTCTCAGGACGAGGATGTGTCCGCGAAGAGCGGAAGGGTGCTCGAGAGTCCGGAAGTGACGCCCGGCGATGTCGGCAGGATGCTGAATCTCGGTAACGCCTTGGACGGACCCAGGCAGGCGCAGAAAAAAATTAAAATATTGTATATATTTAAAATTTAAAAAAAGAAAGAAAGATTGCACGTCTTATTTAAATCTTACAAAATTTAGAAAGTTCTATAAATTTTACTTAATTTTAATATTTATATATCTTGGAAATCACTAATGCCACGTAATTTTGGAGCAACCTCCGGTATCCATGTCTCGGAGAGGAAGTGCACAATTATTCTGAGATACGCTGTACACATTCCGCGGCGGAATTGAGATTGTCCAGAATATTTCAAGCTTTATCTCTCCAGTTTTGCGGCAATTTATCTGAGTCCTTCGCGAAGAGTAACTGCCGGGCGCGATTCTTACGCTGCACGTTGCTGTGACTTTGTATCTTAATGCGCTCCGTTGTTTTATAGCTTTCTTAATAAATAAACTAGTAGGAGATTCACAGAGTCTCTCGTGGCAGCTGCTCCCGCATTTCGGAAGTAGCCGCTGCTCAATTTTCGCACCGAAGCTTTATTTCTTTAGACAAAAAATTTGTATTATTTATAATATTAATCCTACATTACTGCAATTAGTCATAGGAAATATCTTGAAAATTTTGTTTTCGAGATCTCTGGATAATCTTTGACGATGGACAAAATGATCACTTGAACTCATAAGCTGTCAAATGAGTGCGTGGGAATAATCCGGCGCAGGATGTGTTTATGCATAAAAGATAAACCGGATAGGAGTAACTGTCGGTTATATTAATGGACTTGTTTTGACTGGCTATTTGGGGAGGCGTTTGAACCGCGGCCTAAAAATATCCTGTACCTAGGTAGTTCGCGGTTAAAGCACAACTTCGGCCTATCGCGAGAGTTGCTCTTTCTCTCGGACCGAATACTTCTATGACAGTCATTAATCTTATTATGTCGACAGTTAATCTTTCCGAAGGACCGTTGAAGGCAAATTGGACTAATCCATGTATTTCAGTGTACCGTTAAAAGAAATACCTGACAATACTGGCAAAACTAATCTCGCGCGCTAGTTAATGTCAGAAACGAACAAACGAGCGAACAAACACGCAATGCATCGCAAATATCCAAGTAACCGAGAGACGGAAATAGAGACAAATAGCAGAATGTTGTAAGATTGAAAGATTTTCAAAAAAACGTTTCCGACCGGCAACTTCGTATTATTTTAGTGTCATTTTTCCCACAACTTTACAAGGACGATATCGCGCGCAATAATATACTTGAACCTCATTCGTTTCTAATAGTAGGATGAAAGGAAACCGAAAAACTAATCCTCTATCTTTGAGCTTCTCGAGAAGTCCAAGGTAATGTGTACCCTTGTCTCTTTTTACACGAATTTTAGAACTATACCGCTATGATCAATTCTTAGAACCGTAAAAACAATTTAATTTTTTTTTGGGGGGGAAGAGATGAAAAATATATTTTCTCCTTATATGAATTTTGTTTCGATTTTTTATGAATGTGCTCGATGTTTTATGAATAAGCTCATAAATGAGTTTGTAATTTTATTTATTTGAATACCATAAACAATATGATCATTGTTTACATTTTTTAAGATAATTATTATATATATATATATATATATATATATATATATATATATATATATATATACATATATATATATATATATATATATATATATATATATATATATATATATATATATATATATATATATATATATATATATATATATATATATATATATATATATATATATATATATATATATATATATATATATATATATATATATA